GAAGGTCTTCGATATTTAGCGCCCGTCATCTATACCAACAGGGAGGGGGTGGGGGACACTATTTTTACCCCCACCCCATTAAAAGTATCAAGATGACCAATAAAATGGAACATTGTGAGTACGTAATAATCCCCCCCCCCCCCTCCGCCCCTTGACAAAATTATAGACAGTGGCTTGAGTTTTTTTTTTATAAATAATTCCTCGGACCGAATTATTCCTAGACGTTATTAAAGCCACAGAGACAAAAGTATTTACATTGTTACATTAAGCTACCTTACATAGTCTACGTCCTACAAAGCTATTTGCAAACATGGCGTACGCCTTTTACGGCCTAGCGTATTTGATTAGCGCGGACTTGATTGGTTGTTTTTATTTTAGAGCAACGGTAAGAAATGAAACCAGTTACAACTAGATTAGGGCTAAGTGCTGTCGTTGTTGTCAACAACACCGTAGTCCAGTGGTTTACGACCGACGACAACAAGGAAGAGTGGGGTGGGGGTGGTAAACAGGATACACACTCAAGGTCAAGATCAAACAAGTGTTATAACTGTGAGTGTAAGTGTAAGCGGCATGATCAGTGGTCAATCGTTTGAAACTTGATTTAGTGATGACCGTTTTCAACACGAAATTTGATTCTTGTAGCGAAAATCATCCAGATAAACTTGTACTGGTGGGGAGGGTGGAGGGACGGAGTGTGAGTAGAACACGCCGACCTTGCAGCGGTTTTTGATTGGCTGTCGCTGTAAACATACTCTTTGTGTGTTGACAATGGCTAGCACGTATCACAAGACGACAGGAATTCTACTTCCCGCTAAGTTTCAGAGAAAACGTGAACAGGCTAGACTGTATCAGTGGCGTAGCCAGGATCGTCTCAAGGGGGGGTTCCAATTTTTACCCGGGGACAAGCTTTTGATTTGCACCCCCCTCCTCAAACTTTCGATTTGCACCCTCCCCCTCAAACTTTCGATTTACACCCCCCCCCCATCAAACTTTCGATTTGCACCCACCCCTCAAACTTTCGATTTGCACCCCACCCCTCAAACTTTCGATTTGCACCCCCCCCCCCTCATACTTTATATATATATATATATATATATATATATATATATATATATATATATATATATATATATATATATATATATATATATATATATATATATATATATATATATATATATATATATATATATATATATATATATATATATACCGAGGGGTCTATGGGAGGGGGTTATGACCCCCCCCTGCCTACGCCACTGGACTATATCAAATGTTGATTAACAAAATAACGCCATCCATATTGACAGGGGCTGCTTATTTATGCCTTTATTATAGGGGTCCGCGTTACCAAAAGACCATAAACACAGTCAAATGTATGTACTTGGCCGGACAGTTCAGTGATACGGACCAATAAAACTAGATCAACACGCTCATTAAAATGCTAATTTTTGTCTTAAGACCTTACTAGAGCGACGAGTACCATTTGTTTAAGACTAGTTGATGCAAAGTAGGTAGGTTAACAGTCTAGTTTCTATCGGCTACAGGTAGATGGTTTAACCATATGGTTACTGCAGACATAGAGGTTAACCGTCTGGTTACTACAGGTAGATGGTTTAACAGTGTGGTCACTGCAGGTAGACAGTGTTTCTTCCAGACTTTTTTCTCCGGGGGGGGGGCACTTGAAATCTTCGGGGGGGGGGGGGGGGCGGTAAACTTTCTTCGGGGGGGGGGGGGCGGACACTGTTAAAAGTATATATTTTCTATATAAATTATATAAATTCTATTTCGTTCGGGGGGGGGGGGGGGCGGTAAAAAAATTTCGGGGGGGGGGGGCGAAGCCACCCCGAATAGATGCCTGGAAGAAACTCTGCAGGCAGATGGTTTAACAGTGGGTTACTGGAGGTAGATGGTTTAACCGTCTGGTTACTGCAGGTAGTTTAACCGTCTTGTTACTGCAGGTAGAGAGGCTAGCCGTCTGGTTATTAGATAGGCTAATCGTATGGTCACTGCGGGTCGCACATAAAGCCTTGCCGAGACGGTGTGGGTTCAATTCGTCGTGTAGAATTCTTAGGAATTTCGTTATAGATAGTTCACTATGTTCATCTCACAAGGCCGTAAACACGTGACCCGTGTCACGTGACTGGCCACAGTCACGTGCTTGGCTGTCAGATTTCAACCTATCCAAAGTTACAAGGCTCGTTACTGTGGAATTTTAACTAGATGTGACGTCATATAGTTAGCTTCACAAAACATGGCCTCATTTCCCTTTAAAATTAGGTCAACTTTCGTTTCGTCCGCTTCGATAGTTAATGTTTCACATTTGAAAATCGAGGTTGAAAATGTATTGTAAAAAAAATTCAATAGCGTAATTTCTATTTCGTAGACACGATAAATAAAATAAGCAAAGTTGTTTACTTGAAACCAGGACTGAGATCGGGTTTTTTAAACTCACGGCCTTGACATTTTTAAGATACCGGCCTTATAATGTGGGTCTCTTGCAGGGGCGGCACCGCCATTTTTTTAATGGGTGGTTTTGGGGGAGGCTGAAATGTTTAGTTGGATATCATAATAACGAGATTTGTGTTAGTAGAAACTAATGATTCAATCTAAGATGGTCAGTTTGTGTAAGCTTAAGTTAAGTATCAATTATGTTTGTTTTCAGGTGTGTTTTTGTTACCCAATATTAATTAGCATTTAGGTGATTTCAGGGGAAGGGAGGGGGGGGGGGGGGGTCATGAACCCGCCTTGACCTACAAAGCAGACGTACATGGTTTCAAAAAGCCAATACAATTGCGAGGACAGCTCTGTTGTGTCTGTGAAGAAAGGTTAGACCGAGGGGTAATTGTCAGTGTACTTTAAGGTGGAAATGTCACAGAATTCTGTTCAGATCAAGGGGAGTAAGTCGGGATCAAGGGGATTAACTGGGAACAAGGGGAGGAAATCCCTACATATTTTTTAATTTAAAAAAAACCAGACATAAACAAGTGAAGGTTTTCGCTCACAAAAAGTATTGGATTTTCTTCTTCCGTGCTATTACTTAAATCATTATTTAATTCACATATTTTTTTTTAAAGTTTCACAATGAAAACATGATAAACTATTGTTGCAACTACTATATAAAATTTGATACCTAACTGTTGAAATATTGATGCTTCAAAACTGCAAACAATTTGGTGAATACCTAACTGTCGAAGTATTGTTTTTTAAAAAAACGGTGGGAGGACTGCTATAGATATAGATGTTTGAAAGGGAAGAATGTTTGGTTTGATGTGTCTCATTGTACTCAACATAACATTCCGGTTGCTTCAAATTTTTATAATTTTATTTTTCTTTAATCCCAAATTTATTTCAGCTCTACTTAAAAGCCCAAAGCCCCTCAGCCCACCACAACGATGGTGTTTAAAAAAAAAAATTGTAATTTGACGTTTTGTATTATATCTATGTATAAGTAAACCATCTTAAATGATCGAAAGTAGGCTACATGTAAGAAAGAAGTATAACTATTGTAAATCTGCATCAGTCTTTATAAGCAAGGCAAGCTGACGCTGTAAATTACATGTCTGAGGCTAAAAAAAGAAGATTTAAGGAACTGTTGAAATCTTAAATTGCTTCTCAGATTTTCACCATAGGCTAATCACACTGACCACAGAATTAACTGCTGAGAGCTGAAACAAACCAATGACAGGGGTGGGAGAGGATGATAACGGTGCTGGTAAATGTTCTCAAACGGTTTTTTTACTGGTCCGGGGGGTGGGGGTGGTGTTGACTTAGATCTGTATGTACACAGAGTACAGCGGGGGAACAGTTAGGGTGGGGGAGGGGGGTGCTCAGTGGACTGGACCTTCTCGGTAGGGTGTGGGAGGGGGGTGCTCAGTGGACTAGACCTTCTTGGGCTAGGAATCTCAAGCTACCTCGACTGTCTCTATGTTGTGGGGCGGGGGAGGTGAGGTTGGTGAACTAGAGCCTAGCTGTGAATTTTTTTTTAAAATTCTTGCACTGACTGGTGTGGTTGCAAGAAACTGACAACTAAACAGTAGGTAGACAAATACCCCGACTTTAAGAGGTCAATGTCCTGATAGAAATCCTTGCTCACTTACAGCAACATGTAATTAATTTAATTGAATTTTTATGGATCACTAGAGATTTTAATAATTATTAATGAAACCTTTTTTAATTAACGTTTTATTAAAGTGAGCTAAGAAGACTATAAATAGTTTTCTAAACAAATCAACTGAAAGATCAACTGAAAAAGTGTCGAGTTTGCCTGTCTATAAGCACACTTGGTCGCAGTGGAAAGTATGCCCCCCCCCCCCCCCCACTTGAAGCCTGTGGGACGCCAACAAACCGAAAGAGCCCATGTTGTGGCCGGGAAAGTAAGAGTACCTATAATGGTCAGTAACAAAAAGTACTTTAATATACACTGAAGTTAGGAATAAAGTACTTTAATATACACTGAAGTAAGGAATTAAGTGCTTTAATATACACTGAAGTAAGAAATAAAGTACTTTACACTGATGTAAGGAATAAAGTACTTTAATATACATTGAAGTAAGGAATAAAGTACTTTAATATACACTCACGTAAGGAATAAAGTACTCTAATATACACTGAAGTATGGAATTAAGTAGTTTAATATACACTGAAGTAAGGAATTAAGTACTTTAATACACCCTGAAGTAAGAAATTAAGTACTTTGATATACACTGAAGTAAGGAATTAAGTACTTTAATATACCCTGAAGTAAGAAATAAAGTAGTTTAAAATGCACTGAAGTATGGAATTAAGTAGTTAAATATACACTGAAGTAAGGAATAAAGTAGTTTAAAATACACAGAAGTAAGGAATTAAGTCGCCGATAGATTTAAAAGTACATACAAATGCAACAGGCACACAATGTGTAAAGAACTTTTAAAAAGTCCTCACAGCAATTTTCTCCAGAAAAAACGTCCATGATAAAATAACATTAGTAGAAAAAAAAAGTAAAAACACAAACTCACAGTTCCCATTGAAGAATTCACGTGAAGCAGATCGATTACGGTCGGTTCTGAAAGTCTGTTCACCACCTGTTGGTCAACCGTTGAATCCTCGACGTTAAACACCATCTTGTAGTGACTACCACACCACCAGAGGTAACTATAGGCCCTACAGCTGTAACTAAAGCCTCACAATAACACGACAACAGTGCGGGTTGTTCAGTTGTTGGTGCGTGAGGAATGAGAATTGTATTCTGCGGTTCTACAAGGAAGACTTCTTATAATATCTTGGATCTAGTGACGCAAGCCCCACGAAAATCTGGCCCCGGATCTGGTTTGTGAAGAAAATTTCCCGCCCTTCTCGTCAACTCTCTCTTCCACTATAGCTCAGCGGAGAGTGATGGCGCCAAGCTAGTTGGTCGTCTGCTTCACGATGTGGGCTGATCGTCTGCTTCAAGATGTGGGCTACTCGCTACACGCTAGGTCTCAGGACAGCGGAGATTTGAACAATAATCAGTCTAATTACTCCCTGAGATTCGTAGTTTGCACCAAATAAACTAGAAAATAATGTATGTGGGGTTGATTGCACGAATGAAAATGAATGTTTGACGATGTCTCTCACAGTGAGAAAGTTATAACGTAGCCAAGTCAAATGACTAAGTCCAAACGTTTGAATAGATTTACTATAGAAGTATCGTGAGAAATGTTAATATTCCTTGAAATGGTACCATACTATAAGAACGGAGAAGATTAATTAACCATGAATCAGCAGCACAACAAACAATCTAATATCCGCGGAAGTTTGATTTGAGTGCAGGTATAATATTTACTACAATGTGGGGGATGTATGTGATACATGTGTCATACGGTAACTTCATCGCGTTTTTTATAGTTAAATAATAGAGCCATGTTGTAGCAAGTCACAAGAAAGTAATACCAAGACGTTATAAAGAAACACCACGGATGTGCCTATATGCACAATTAAACCAGAGTAACACATAGCAACATGAGGTGACCGGTAATTAAAGATTTGAGAATTTGAAGAGTTTTAATTATAGAGAGACTGAATTCAAACAACGCGCTAGCAGACGTGAAAAGATCACTATAGAGCCTAAAGTCATGACATGATTCAAACCAGTTTTTAAGAAACGCGAGTGAATGTCCATCTTTTTAACCTAGCGTATATTACACAATAGGACTTTAAATAAAGCAAATTACACTCGCCCAATCATTGTTTTTAGCGCAATTTCCATTCTGGAGAATTGCGTTTATTAACTCGTCTTTTCTGGGAATGAATGGATGAATGGATGGATGGATGTGTGTCCGCAGCTTTAAGTCGTATCTCCTCCTCAACGAAGCAATATCGAGGACTAGTTCCAAAAGCAATTATGTTAAGCAAGTTACGAGGATGAACATAGGCCATAAAAATTCCGGGTTTCTTTCATGGATTTCCCGGAAAAGCCAAAAAACCTCAAAAAAATGTAGTTTTTTGCCCATAACTCGGCAACCAGACCACTTAGCGACTTGAAACATGTACCAATCGATTCCTGCCATAATTTAGAACAATATTGCCGAAGAAAGTTTTCAAAAATATCCTTTCGTTTGGTCACAAAATTTTTTTTGAATTAATTAAAATTTGGACCGAATTAGTAGGCATTTTATGCAACCACACCACACGCGTCATCACGTTCAATAGCTGCGCCATCACGTTCAATGGCTGCGACGTCACGTTCGGTAGCTGGGCGCGCAATGGTTTTTAGTCATGTTACTCTATTGTAAATAAAACGTAAAATACTGAAAAAAAAATTAATAAAAAACGTTTTAATAACTAACCAATGGTTTTACTAACCCTGCTCTTGATTTACGCTACGACAGAGCTATTTTTAGATAACACAAGGAAATTGCGCTAAAATTGTCACTAGACTTTTTTTAATTACTTGTTTTATATGGGTATTAATTATAGGAGTCCTAGAGTCATCGTGTTCTCGCGCGCAAATGTTAAACGGCGTCTTTGGCGACCAATCAAATTATGTTGCGCAGCGTCATTGACAACCAATCAAAATGTATAACCTATTGAACCGTGTCACTAACGACCAATCAGACCTTTACATCTGCCGATCTTGGTGCTTACGTCATTTACTCTGTTTCTCCCTGAATTAAATAGTTTGCTTTTAGCCAATGATATATTCTAATATTTTTGTTTAAAATTTAAGTTTTGCGTAAACAGGACGCAGCATATTTTTTTATTCCTGGATAGCCTTGGAAGAATTTGGAAACATTGTTTGTCCAACTTTAAAGAAAATGTCACTCTCTTCAAATGTTATAAGGGCCAAGTATTTTTGTGTGACGCAAGTCCCAAGGGAGACAACTAGTCAAAATGGGGAGAGAACTGATGGTTTTGTTTGTTTACGTCGCATGGTGACGCGGGTACCCTCTTGTAGGTGTCTTGGTTTTATTGTGCCACAAGTTGGGGTGGCGGGATCATGTTCTAGATAGGGACTAATGACGTAGGCGACCCTCAACTTTTTACTACGGTCAAGTGAAAAAACAACTTTGTTATGTTTCCAACAGAGTATAGCGACTACCATCAACAAAGTTTTTTTAAAAATAAAAAAAAAATCATATAAAATAGTTCGCAAATAGTTGTAACCAGCGGCGTAGGTATAATTAAATCATAGTGGGTTCTAACAGCCCTAACATTCCCCCCCCCCCCCCCCTTGGGCCGACGTAGTCGAAAACAATGAAACGATATGCGCTGAATTATTATGAGATTAACACATATAAAATGTTGAATGTGCTAATTGTGCAGATGCGTTAGTCCTAATCTGGTAAACAAATGCACCATCAACCATATATATGTGACTTCATTTAGGTAAGCACATCCAAGTAATTAACCTTGAAACTCACACACAAACAGCCAACATTAACCACATTCAAATAACCAGATACAGATAACCACCTCAGATAACCACACCCCGACAGACATTAACCACATTCAAGTAGCCATACCTCAGATAACCACACACATACAGCAGACATTAACCACATTCAAATAACCAGACTAATATAACCACCTCAGATAACCACACACATACTACATACATTAACCACATTCAAGTAACGAGATACAGACAAATAACCATACTAATATAACCACATTAGATAACCACACCCAGACAACCAACATTAACCACATTCAAATAACCATCCTAATATAACCACATTAGATAACCACACCCAGACATCCAACATTAACCACATTCAAATAACCATACTAATATAACCACATTAGATAACCACACCCAGACATCTAACATTAACCACATTCAAATAACCATACTAATATAACCACATTAGATAACCACACCCAGACATCCAACATTAACCACATTCAAATAACCATACTAATATAACCACATTAGATAACCACACCCAGACATCTAACATTAACCACATTCAAATAACCATCCTAATATAACCACATTAGATAACCACACCCAGACAACCAACATTAACCACATTCAAATAACCATCCTAATATAACCACATTAGATAACCACACCCAGACATCCAACATTAACCACATTCAAATAACCATACTAATATAACCACATTAGATAACCACACCCAGACATCTAACATTAACCACATTCAAATAACCATACTAATATAACCACATTAGATAACCACACCCAGACATCCAACATTAACCACATTCAAATAACCATACTAATATAACCACATTAGATAACCACACCCAGACATCTAACATTAACCACATTCAAATAACCATACTAATATAACCACATTAGATAACCACACCCAGACATCCAACATTAACCACATTCAAATAACCATACTAATATAACCACATTAGATAACCACACCCAGACAGCCAACATTAACCACATTCGTATAACCATTCTAATATAACCACATTAGATAACCACACCCAGACATCCAACATTAACCACATTCAAATAACCATACCACATTAGATAACCACACCCAGACATCCAACATTAACCACATTCAAATAACCATCCTAATATAACCACATTAGATAACCACACCCAGACAATCAACATTAACCACATTCAAATAACCATACTAATATAACCACATTAGATAACCACACCCAGACATCCAACATTAACCACATTCAAATAACCATCCTAATATAACCACATTAGATAACCACACCCAGACAATCAACATTAACCACATTCAAATAGCCATCCTAATATAACCACATTAGATAACCACACCCAGACATCCAACATTAACCACATTCAAGTAACCATACATAGTTAACCACCTAGATAACCGAATCCTGTCAACAATTTTTATTTTACTAATTTTTAACTTTTGTAAGGTTTCTATAATCCTAGCTGCGTTGAATATATTAATCCGAATTTATATTGAATTTTTCGAATGCAGTCATCTGTCAATGGGAGCATCGCCCAAATCTGATCTGGTCTGAAAATTATTTTTTACCGAATTTCGTTTTTCACACGGCGTGTGTATGCGTGTGTGTGTGTATGTGTGTGTGTGTATGTGTGTGTGTGTGCTAACAAGCGTGTCGTGTGTATGTGCGTATGTGTGAATTACTTTATTAATTAATTTATTTATTAACCTTTTTATTTATAAAGCCCTTATATAAAAAACATAAGTGGGCTTATTCAATCATAAAGTTTTGATTAGTGATGTAATCAATCTAGCGAATGCAATCAACAAGAAGAGACAACTTAATCCTGTTGTGTATTGAGGTAGTCTCGACTGTAAACTTCTTAAAGATGAAACACAGTTTGTATGGACGTACACGGTACTAACATGGTCTCAAAATGTCAGACATCTTGTCAGAGATATAATTACACCGACCTTTCATCCGACTGAGACAAAACATCACAAAAACAAGATAGAAAAGTCTCGAGGTTTTTTTTTTTTTTTTTTTTTTTTTTGGTGATAAACCACTTCTGTTAAGCTGACTTGTGATGAAATACTTCTCGAGTCAAAGGGCGATAACTTTGTCATGGGGTCAGGGGAACGAACCCAGGAATAACTTCTAGGACACAGGAAGTCAAGAATCGTAAGACAATTAATAAATGTTGAGCTTTTGGTTTTTTCCGTTGTTTTCTGTAACGATTCTTGTGTAATGATATTTTAAAATAGCCTCTATTTTTAATGACCAGATGCGGAAGTACTGGAGATGATTATGCTAATTAATTTATGTCGTTAAATTGAGAGACAGTTCAAGTTTACAAGCAAATAACTA